TTTTAATTTTGGGGGGGCCCCGCCCACCCCCCAAATAAAATTTTTTTTTTGGGGGGAAACCCGGGAAAAAATTTGGGGTTTTCCGGGAAAAAAAAACCCTTTTTTCCGGGGGGTCCCCCCGGCGGTGCCCCCTTTGTTGGGAACCTTTTCCGGTCCAGGGTATCGGTTCCGGGAAAAATTCCCTCCCCTTTTTTTCCCGGGGGGTTTTGGGGGGGCCAGGGCCCTCCCCCCGGGTGGGGTCCCCCCTTTCCGACCCCCTTTTGGGGGGGTTTTTTTTCCTTTCGGAGGGGGGGGACTTTTTTTGGAGGCATTTTTTTCCGGGGGGGGGTAAAAGGGGGAAAAAAAAGGGGTTTAAAAAAAATTTGGCGGCCAAATTTTTTTTGCCCGGGGGCCAAAACCCAAAAAAGGAAGCCCGAAAATTTTGGGGGGTTTGGCTTTTTCTTGGGTTAAAAAAAAAAAGTTGGGGGCCCCCCCCCCCCCCCCCCCCCCCCCCCAAGTCAACATCCACCCATAAGTCGTCCGTCCTCACAATTGATCATCGTCTTGAGCACATTTTTGAGTCAGATCTTGCCTTGTTGCCCAAGACGATGAACTCGCAATCTCCCACAATTCCATTTCGGAAAAGTGACACCTGTCCACACTGCCCCTGGGTAGAACCTGACGCCCCAGCGACTAGTGGTACTAAACAGCCAAGCATCTAGGCTGGTAGCGGAGGACAAGAATAGAGGAACAGCAGTGCATCGTTCCACCCGATAAGTGTGGTTAGGGGCCGAAAAACACTCCACGAAAGCAAGCGATTTTGATGCCCTGCCCCCTCCCGACGCGCGCGCACGCGACCATCGTGGCTTCCACCGCCACCGCCGCCGCCGCGTGTGTGTGCACCATGATGCGGACCAGCTTCGCGGCAGCGGTGGTGACGGTGGTGGTGTACTACCTCGTGTTTCAGGGGAGAACCATGTTCGACGAGCCCCTCACGGCTTCGGACATCTTCGTGTTCGGAGAGTTTCAAGACTCGGTGAGAGGGGCTTGCTTGACTGACCGAGATAGGTTGGACCTCTTTTCCTGCAAGGGGTACAACAGGGGGGGGAGCGGGGCGAGGAAGAGACCGTAAGGGTTTGGCGAAGGAACGCCCTGTATGGGAAGATGTTGTTCTTGGTGGCAGGGCGAGGCTAGGTGATGTAATCACGCCACGTCAAACCTAGCCGGTTGTTTCATGTTTGTGTACCACACAAAGTGGAGATGGGGGAGGTAGTAAGAGACAGCACTGGCATGACACGCACTCTATTCCATTGCTCGACGAGGCGATCACGAAGATCGTTGTTTTACGTTCCAACTCTATCGCTATTAATTTAATAACTTGTGGAACAAAACTTGAACGGAAAAATTGACTCGGATGGCCCATACCTGTGAGTGATTACATCCACGGGAGAGTTCCGGCGAGCAGGGTATTCAATGTTCAGACTGTTGGATGCATCTCCCTCGCCCCCATGCGCAGGACTCGAGCTTCTACATGTGGGAGCTGCCGATGTTTGCTCTAATCGCCACCCTGGGTGGCCTGCTGGGGGCTGGGTTCGTGGCCTGCAGCAAGCGCATGGCATTGTTCAGGGCTAGAAATCTTGCGGGGGCGAAGCGTCGTTTTATCGAGGCAAGCGAGAAATTTCACAAAGAGACAGCTTTTTCTGCACGGTATGAGGGGCTATACATAGCTCTACCTCACGTGGTCCACCCCGGCAAGCCCTGGTCCCTTTCCCGTGTCGTCCTCGTTTTTGGTTTGGGTGACAGGTGCAAAGACAGGTAGTCGTTACGACATCTCCGTTGAGCACGCGACCTCTGTTCTACGTTTTCGATCAGGATACAAAGCTACCCAGACAATCAACTTTTCGCTACACTCTTGAATTCAATCTCGGTTTTGATCAGATCATGGTGATCAGCAGCATAATGACTACCGTGGCGTTTTTTCTCCCGCTCGCCGTCGGAGAATGCCGCCCCGTACCGACCGATCTCGAGGGATGGTCCCCATCAGGGGTAGCGAGCATTAAGCGTCTCGTCACGCTCAACTGCCACCACGGGGAATACAACGAGGTGAACGAACGCATTGACTGTGCTGCTGTAGTTCTGAACAGCTGCCACCACCATATTTCAGCAAGCAACAGCAGATTTTTTGGGCTGAGGGAACAACACGAACTCTTGTCTAGTCTGCAAGGCAGTGTGTGGCACACTCATTCGATGAATTCTGAAACAAAATAAAACAACGCGCACTGGTCACCTTGGCTGCTTGGTTTCGCTGATTCCATCGTGTGTGTTCTCCCTGCATGCGGTAGATTGCGATGGAGTTTAGTGCTGTGTTGGACGAATTGTTGTCCTGTGCCAGCCAAGGGCCGTCGCTTTGCATCTTTACAAGCGCTGAATGACAGCATATGCTCAGAGCGTTTTGATCATGCATGTCACCTATCGGAGAATACGAGAAACAAGACTACTGATGTAGTGTGGGTGAGGTGATCGCACGAGTTTCGAAACCAACTCTGCTCAGGAATTTCGGGGTTGACGAGAGTGTCTCCTTGTCGAAACCTTTCCCGAACAGTCTTCATTGAACCGGTGTTGCACGAAACCCACGTCCGGGTTGGATCTCATTCTGCTGTACGTACTCTGTCTCCATCGACGTCCAGAGTCAATAGGAAGACACCGTTGGCTCCCTGCGGTGCGTCATTGAATGCAAGCATTGGGTTAGAGGTCGTCGTTGACCGCCGATCAGGTGCCGAGCAGAAAAATTACTATCAAGATCTCCCGAACACCGCCTTAACTGCAGCTGTTCCCGCAGGAGCGACGTAGTCGACCCCACTCGCTACAATAGACTAAGAAATCAGTTCTTAAACGAGGAAGGACATCTAATTCTGATGCTAACCCCAACCCTGGCCTACCCCAACGAATACGCTAGCTTGGAACCTTGTTCCTGAACGAGCAAGACGGGACGATCAAGCTGCTCTTCCACTTCGGCGACGGCACCCTCCGGTCTTCGTCCGCCGTTCTGTTCTTTGGAGTGTTCATCACCCTGCAGTGCGTCGCTAGCGGCGTGTGGGTGTCGAACGGGCAGTTCATCCCCGCCATATTGTCCGGCGCGGCCATGGGTAAGCGCTAGGATGCAACAGTCATGACGTCCTCGTTTCACCTATTCAGTTCACGCCCGAAGCCTCGCTATTTTGACCTGCTTGTCAACCCGGAGTCTGCCCCAAGGCCGTCGCGTTCTTGTTCTCAACTGCGTGTTATTAGCGGTTTCTAGGTACGAAGACAACGGTAAAACGGTGGTGCTGCCGAAATGTTGAAAAAGAGGGGTCATAGACAAGATAATTCTTGTTCAACGCCGTGTTCGTGCCCACATGGGAAGGGCATGCTTCTCACGACAGCATATGGCGAAGAACTTCGTATTCAAGATGACAAACATATCCGCACCCTTCACGCGCGTCTAGTCTTCATCTTCGAACCGCTGGATTGGTACTCGCGACAGGCCGAAGCATAGGAGAGTTGTTGGGGAGAAATTCGCGAGCCTATGCGCTCGTCGGCGGTGCGGGTATCCTGGGAGGCATCACACGGATGGCTCTGAGCGTGACGGTCATGATGGTGGAAGCATCAGGATGGGTCTTGGTGAGTACCTGAAAGTGCATGGCGCGTTCTGCATTGGATTCTACACTCTACAGGGGGGAGGACAAGCACAGTGTTGCACTACTTGAAAGGGATTGTCTCTCGATGGTATATCGCCTGGACGCCGACTTGCAAGCTTCTCGAGAAAATGCACCTGCGGGCGATGTGAATATCGATGAGAATCAATATCCTGAACGTCCGATGTGCAGCTATATTATCATGCGCCGACAGCGCTGCGCTTGCAGATGATTGTTCGTGCAAGGAAATGTGTTCGCCGATGATGTAACTTCGCATTTTTCCGCCCTTTCCTCCCTATTTCTACCAGTTCGTGATCCCGTTGATGCTTGTTTTCATCGTCGCGAGATCAGTGGGAAACCGCTTCAACGAGGGCATTTACGACACGCAGATCAGCATCAAGAAGATGCCTTTTCTTGAGCAGGTGAGCCACCGAGCTTGACGAACAATAACCCTTCGAAGACGGTGGTAGCCGATTACAGCCCAGAACGGTTTCCGGATCTATGTATCTAGCGAAACGAACTGCAACAGAAAATCCCTCCGGTGGAGCGATCCTAACCTCCAACTGCCGTTAGGTTAGGTTCGCTCACCTACGAGTGTCTGCGTACGATGCCCCTTTTCTTCGCTCCGACACGAGGGACATCGTTGTAACCCCGTCCCCCTTTTCTGACGCCGTCTTCGCAATACATACGCCACCCTTGCTAACAACGGCACGATCCACGCCAACGCAGGAGCCTCCGGAAGAGACCCGAACGCAGAACATGCGCGCGAACCAGCTCATGTCGAAAGAAGTCGTGTGCCTGCGACCGATCGAGACGGTGGAGGCTATCATGACAATTCTTCGCGACTACGACCACAACTGCTTCCCGGTGGTGGAGGACAGGGACCAACGGGTGCTCCTCGGGGTGGTACACAGGTGACATTTATTTTGTGGTGACACAATGCAGCGTGTGGTGCTGAGGTTTTATCAACACCCCCCACCCCCAAGACCGATGATCTCATCATACTGGAGTGCCCGAGGCAGCCGGTGTTGACGCGAGCCGTTCGGTGCACTTGGTCATGTCACGGGTCATGGCGATCGTGTGAAAGTGGCACAGGAGGCTTCGCGTGTAACTCGCTTCCCGTGTGCGGTGATGACGCGGTGAAATATCGTCTGAAGCCTTTTCTTCAATCCTACTCCATGGATATAGACGGTGGCAGCGATAAGCAGGGTAGGCGCAAGATGGCGGCGCTCTATTCTACTCATGCCCATGATAATGGTACAAGTACAACAGGGGTTCAAAGACGAGGGTGTATGCCCTCCGAGGGGATGATTGAGTGGTGCAGAAGCAAATCTGCACCTCCTTCTCTGTGACCTGAAAATACTTTCTGTATCCCCAAGTAGACTGACCTCTTCTCTGGTCGTCTCTTGCTGATCGCTTTGTTCCTTCGCTACGTGCTCAGGAAAAATCTGGCGGTGCTCCTCATGGAAAGACACTTTACGGAACCCTCGGCTCAAGATCCCACCAGGTACGTACGGTGAACCGGATGGCCAAATAGAGGTAAATCTGTAGATGTGCCATGGCCGTGGTGGCTCCTGGAACGCCGACGGAAGCCCTGGAATCACACATATTCGAAAATGTTGCGAACGTGTCTGTCTCCGGACATCCGTGGATACCGGTTGTACGTCCGCGGACACGTACATGGACATCTCGACGCACTTCAAGAGAACTGTCCATAAACACAGTTTTAGCGAGGATGGTGGAATGTCAAAACAAAGTTGTTGATGATAGCTTACCTTTTGAAGGTTTAGGAAGGATTATTGTCGTTGTGACAAAGAGAGAAAGCACATATTGTACGAGGCCCCGAAACAAGTAGTATTTTTACCTGTTTTTTAAAGTGGTGTTGGGATAAGATCATGATTATCTGATGCGGCAGTGTTTTCGGGTGCGACTGTCATGCACACCCCTCCACGCGCAATTTGAACGGGATTATTCTTTTTCGCATGTTCTTGAACGGAGGTTTTCGTTATCCACATTGTGGAGGGTTTGGTTTGATGTTTCCCGGCAGCTCTACGAGCATGTGATCACCTACAGTAAGTCGTATTTCGAGAGAAACGGGCGCACCGGGCTACAGAGGTCAGAACAGTCTCCTGGAATACAACCACTACGACAACTTGTAAACCAGATGTTGCCCTCCCCGTAGGGCGTACACGGCCACGGCAACAACTCGCGACGGACGCGGTAGTATGTGGGGTAGTCCAGCCCACCCACATGTGAGAATACGAATACAGCCTGCGGCTGAAACATCCTCCATCGGGTGTGAAAGGTTCCTCTTCAAGAAGCAGGAAGTGTGTGTGTGGTACGCGCTGCCCTCGACGACATTGGCCAGGTGGTTCACGTCGACGGCATTCGCTGCAGCAATACAAAGCCACAGGGAGGAGTAATGGTACCCTCCGTACTTGAAGAACGTTCGCCACATGTTGTTGCACGCCCATCCATGCGCAACTCTAATGTTTGTAGCCAACCCCGCTACTTGGCACAGGCCGAACGACATACTGCCGGAGCTGTCGTGGAGTGTGCTCGAGAGGTCATACCCACACTACCCCATGCTCCAAGATATCAAGATAGGGGGCGAGCATTGGCATTGCCTCATGGACATCGCGCCCTATGTACAGATCGGACCACACTGCATCAACGGTAAGCTTGTGTGATGGTGAAACAGCTCCGCCTCACGAATCACTATAGTAGGCAACGCCTCTCGCACTGTGTTGCCATTCCTGAATACGTCGCATCACCCCCATTGTGTAGAGACTACCTACCTATGTACGTACGTACGTCATCTGGAGGGATCTGTTCGAGCGTTGTGGTAGTTTCCTCGGTAGTAGTTGTCCATTCCCGATGTTTACCGCCATGACTCTTCCTTATGGCAGCGAAGTTCTCGGGGCAATGACCCCCGCTTTGGGGGCAGAAGTCCTCGCCAAACCTATTTCTTCCTCGAGGAGATCTAAACGGGGAAAATGATTGAACAGAATGAAATAGTCGTCGTTTTGAGGGCAAAATGATCACAACGACGAAACGACGACGGAAAACAACAACAATAACAATAACAATAACAATAACAACAACAAAGACCATGCTGCCAACAATAGCAATCAATGTCAACAATATCGACGACAACGACGACGGCCACGTGGCAGCCTTCGTAGAGTACTTGGACAATATTAGCAACAGAGTGCTCTGTACGATCGTAGGTTGCCAATACGTCGCTGATTTACGTACACACCGGTCAATGACGTCGGTGGCTCGAGGTACATAGAACTTGGCACCACCCTCGTCTCCTTGCTTGTTATTGCTCATACCAAACCGCGAGAGAGAAACAACCGCCGAATCCCGTGGAAGTCCCAACAACTGTGAACTTTTTGAGCAGTACCACAGGGAGCGGGAGTGACTCCGTTTTTGCCGGTCGGATTTGGAGTCACGGTGGAGCGGACATTAATTCACAACCTCAAAAAAGATTTCTACAAAAGCTTGAAAATCGAAAACTACCACGGCTTGAAATTTGAGCGACTCCTTCGTACAACTGCTAACCACACGTACGTGTGCGCACGCGTGTGAACACACATATTTTGTATGCCCTCGTTCCGTTCTTCGGCCTTTCTCCAGAACACGCCTCCGCCCACCGGGCCTACATCATGTTCCGGACGTTAGGCCTTCGCCACCTGGTGGTGGTGAACCACTACAACGAGGTCATGGGCATGATCACTAGAGAGAACCTCTTGCCGGAGCACTTCGGTGCTGGCGGGGCATACTCCAGAACCCAGGATGTACACGACAAGCTGTCCGCGGCATAGTTATGTCCAAATTGTTAGGATGAGAGATTGCACGCTGGGTGATGGCGGCGCGCGAAAACGTCAAAGAATACAAGAAATAGACGACAACCAAAATCGGGACAGATTGTCAGCGAGCGAGGTTTGGGGTGCTCTGTTTAGAGGGGTACCGAACTATCATGGCGAGGTCCTTGTGGGCTTCATACTTTGTGGGATACACATACATACTGTTGGCGTCCGTTGCACGTGTTTAGTGTTGAACTCATTCATTAAATTCAATAAACTACGAACGGTGGGGGGAGGAGGAGTGGTCTTAATGGATCGGTGCCAAATCTTCGGTGATGTGACGGGTTGTGCCTGTGATGTGAGCTCTGAATGTGACCAAAACTAAATGCCCGACTACATCGACTAGAACCCGTGACGCGGAGACTTTTAACGCGCATGGTTGCATAGATAGGAAATACTGCAGTTCAGGCTTCTCCTTTCATCTATTGTGATACGCTAGGGGAAGGGAGTCTTTCGCCTTTGTTTCAGTACTTTGACATGCAGCGCAGATGATTACCTTTTGCAGTTCAGAGAGTTATCAAAGAGTTACTATCTATGTCAGAAGATACATGTGTATCACACGTAGCTTCTTTCGCGCTTGCGTCCTTGTATATGATGTTCTGTTCAACAACAAGGCTTCTTAGTTTGGTCGTTGGTGGCAGGGAGGGCGACATACATGTGCACGTGTATAGTCCAGCAGTGAGGTGACCTTCAGAATGGATCGTCAACGTCCGCCAAAGGCGATTCACGATTCCCTCGCTTCCATGTTTACGTCGACGAAGGGGGGGGGGGGGGAGGGGGGGGAGGGGAGGTAGCTTGCAGGGCGGGCGTCATACACGTGTATTCCCCCACTCCGTATACGCTCCTGTGGAGGTGACCTTTAGAAAGGATCGTAACCGTCCGTCGAGGACGATTCCCTCGTTTCGCAGTTAGGGCCGTTGAAGAGTGGAGGTTGGATGCTGCACGCTTAATACAATCCCATCCGTTTGCTGTTCCGCAAATCTAGCCTCGTCCGGTCGTGTTGGCTCGGTCAGTTCTTTAACGAGGACAATGGTCGGGGCATGAATCTGTTTTGTTTTGTTTTTTCCTTGTCTGGCAAGTGCGTTATGCTTCGAAGTTTCTATTTCTCACTTAGATTTGCATCATCTTTCCGACCGTGTTGCCAGAGCACACTACCGCAACTCGTATGGAGTATGCATACAACGACAATATCGCAATACATTGGGCCTCATGCCTCTCCATCAAGCATTCTCTGTACCATGATACATACACCCTGTTGTTTACATCGTACAAACATGACGCGCCCTTGTTGCCTATTCTCGCAGCTGTCAGAGAAAGCTGCTACATAGACACCACGATCGGGAAACCGATCCAAACTGGCACGTTGACGTGAGATAGATCTAAGCTGATGGAAAAATTAAAGCCGGTACCTAGCAGCAGACGAGACAGAGCGACACAACCTGCCTTCCCACGACATCCACCCCCCCCTTCATGTGTACAATTGAAAAAATATAAATGAGGAAGGTTTTTCGAACGTCTCAGGAAGCCACCTGTTGCTCCCAGGAAGCCTGTAGCGCTACTTAACCCTCCCCGTCCCATACCCGACGTTCGAAGTACGTCTTGCCTCGGTAAATACCTATTCACTGCCATCGGTGTGATACCCACAACAACCCAGACAAGCATCAATCGAACGGGAAAAACACAAGAACAAATCGCCATATATGTATTGCGTCCCCAAAACTGAACATTAAAAAATACTCAACACAAACGAAACAGAACAAATACATTTGTGCGAGAAGGATAGGATTTCCTTTTTTTTTCGACCATGCTGAAACACTTACTACAAAACACGCAGCGCAGGAAAAAATCAACAGCACCGCGGGCGAAAGGCAGTTCAATGATGGCGTCGTATCTTCCTTCCTTGCCGTGTACCGTGGTGCCGTCGAAATGCGCTTGTGCGATCTACAAAAAACTGCGAACGTGTTGCCTGCAGCAAGCAGACCGCGAGTGTGCCTAACATACCCCGCACCGGTGCGGCACAATATAGAGCAAAGCAGTTCGATAGAACAATGCATACGTAGTGTGGCACGCAACAGCAGCGGGGGATACTTCTACAAAAACCTCTGCACGGCAGTTTTCCTCCCGTGCGAATGATGCCACAAGAGGTTTTTCCTTCGAACCTCTGCATCTAGGGAAGCGGCATACTACAAACAGAAAAAAGAACCACACACCGTGTTTTTCTCATCACACTGAATCTCTGTATGGCCAACAAGTCAACGCACTCCAAGCATACGCCTAAGGCAGCCCGGCCCCCTCGTCATCGTCGCCGCCGGCGAAAGTCTCAAAAAAGTCTTCGAAGCTCGCTCCTTCCCCTCCGTCCCTTCCCCAGTCCCACGGCAACGACTCCTTCCCGTCACGTGGCGCCATCCCACCGCCCTGCGTTCCACCTAGCCCCGCGGCAGCGTTTGCCGCTGCTCCCGGAATGGCCGCCGCCTGCTCTCCTGCCGGGACATGGTTTGTCCCGCCATCGAAGGCGTTTCCGTCGGCCACGTGGCTCCGTGCCGGCGGCGCCAGCTCGTGGCAGCGGGTTTTCCCGGCCTCCCACCGCCGCCGCCGCTCCGCGAGCCAGGAGTCGATGGCCGCTGTCGTGCGGTCCGAGCACTTCTCGGCGTGGGCCCGGCAGCGCTCGAGCGCGTCCGTGGCAGCCCTGCAAACAGAAAACGCGGCAAGTTAGGGAGGACTGAAGTTTTTTTTTCTTTTTCTTTTCCTCATATGCATAGGACCCAACGAATCCACTACTGTCGAAGGAAGAGTCTAAGATAGATTAGCAAGGAATCTATAGCGTCAGCGAAGGCTACCTGCAAGGTTTTAGTTTAAACGCTCGAGGAGACCAAAAATACCAGATGAGGTATACAAAAATACCAGATGAGGTATACAAGGAAGAACATAGGTTTCATTTGGCGGTGGCGTTTCGTCATGTTCACTTGTAGGGATGTTATGTTTGTTTCCGGAGTATGTTGAACCAGGCCCAAACGACGGGATGTGCGACACTGCCGACTGCTGGGCTCGCATGTTCTCCGCCCAACCCATTTCGGTGAATGTTGTTTGTGCACCAATGAGAACTAATTAATGAAAAAGACCAACAAACGGAACAAGATGTGGCATACTTGTAAACTGTTTTTCGTCGAAACCCTCCAAAGCTATGTCTTTCTACACGCGTGGGTCCCGTGGCTCTTCGACTGAATGAGCTATCATGTACGTGCCTCGCTTGCAGTTGCCTCGAGAAAGACACAAGGAGTCCAAAAACCATGCCCCGAAGGTCTTGAAGGCGCCTCGTCAATAAGAAGCACCCTTGTCAGTTGTTCTGTGAGTGGCCGATAAATAATACCGGTACTCACTTCTCCCTCGCCGAGGAAGCCTCCAGCTCCCGCTTCTGCGCCTGTCGCGTGGCCTTCTCCCGCTTAGAGGCCTGCTTGCCGGCTGCCTTATCGCGTGCCTTAGACAGCGGAGCGAGCGTCTTGGAGACTCTCCGCCGGAGCCCATCCCTGGTATCCCGCTGTTCGTCGTGGCTGTACCTGTTGCGCAATGCGAAAAAACGAGAGATGGATGAAGGGGGGTATAGATGTTTCTCGTGACATAGCGAGGCGCGCACTTCGAGATTGACGCGCCTGTGGGGCGACTCATATAATACTTACAGGCTTGGTGTACAACGCCACCCGACTCTTACCAACGCATCGAAAACAACATGGAGTGGCTCATCACACCAGCAAAGTGTCGACATCGAAAGAGAAAGAGCATAGAGCATCACCAGCTCACCACTGCACGAACGCCTGCAAGTCGTGATGCTCCGGCAATCCCCACCCGCCCCCGACGTTAAACCCGTCGCTCGCACGTCCGCCGCCGCTTGGATCATGCCAAGACCCGCCGCCGCCGCCGCCGCCGCCGGTAGGCCGTGACTTAGGCAAAGCAACCGTCCCGCTTGCACCGGCACCGCCAACACTACTGTTGCTGATGTCGCTGCTGCTTCTTCGGCGTGGCCTCCTCCTCAACGCAGACGCTTCCGGCTCGGACCCGGCCCCTGCCTCCTCCTCAGCTACCACCGCCGTGTCTTCCTCTCCTCCGGCCACTCGCGAGGCCGGGCGCCCTTGCTCTTCGCCCTCGTCCTCTTCGAGGACTTCGTGTAGCCGGAACTGCGACGACGAATTCGCTCCGCCGGCGGCGGCAGCAGCAGGGGTCCCCGTTGCGGCAGCGAAGACGGCAGCGGCGACGGAAGGTGTTTTCGCCGCCGAGGCGCCCCCGCCCCCGCTGGCACCGCCGTTACCGGCTGTGCCGTCGGCGGCACCGCCCGCCGCCCCCGAAGAGCCCGCGAAGTAGGAAGACATGCTGCCCCCGGGTACAGAAGGTGGCCACGAGCCCGCAGCGGGAACGTTATTAAAATGGGGGGGCGTCGGAGGGAAGAAGGCCTTGTTGCGCTGAGGGGACTGAGGAGCCTTCTGGTGTGTTGCCTGGATCTCGGGCGGAGGGGGGGGGGGGGGGGGGGCAACACTCATTCAGTGCACCGGGACACGCGGCAATAATGTTGCGTACATCAGAACAAGGTACGGTAAGGCATAGCACGGCCTCG